GGTCTGGATATATTTATCGATTATTAACTAACTAACATGCATGAAAATAGAAAAAAAGACAAGTCCAAATATATTTGTGTACCGCATTTTTGTCGACGCCTGTATTATTTTGATATTCTAAAGTATAATGACCAATGGTACCTTCATGTCAAGTACATTGGTCAGATATGTTATTCACTTCATAAATCTAACATACAAGGATATTGTAGATGTGTAGCGGAATAGATACAATTTGTAATAAACCAAAAGGGTGTGGTCCGACACGATGCCTATCGTGTAGTGACTTTGGGACCAACATCGAAAATTAAAGGGTGTGGCTCTATGCTATGCCAATCGTGACTATGGTCCAACATAGAAAATCCTGTAATGATGCCATTTCAGATTCTATTTATGCCAATACGCATATGTGAGCTTTTTTGTAACCCCCCTCCCCTCCCCTCCCCTCGCCTCCCCTCCCCTCGAATGTGTGTCTTTTTCCACTTCATGAGCAAATGTAACAGAAGATCCTCCTCACACTTTATATTAGCGTTGATTGATTTTCGTATACAATGATGGTTACTTTTATTTGTTCCCTTGGTTATGGTTTTCTATGGATGTGTCTTGTTGGCTTTTATGAATTGTGTTAAGTGATTTTTTCTCAACTTTTAGGTTTATACAGATTTTATGAAACAACAACAGTTAAATTGTCGTCTATATCAATTTGAGTTCATATCAACTTTTAGGAATGGATGTGGTTCTCATGTTTGCTTGGAAGAGTGAAGATTCCCACTTCTTGGAGATCTTCATTTTTTTTGTTCTAACTTATGGAATCGTGTAGACTATTAGCGAATCAAACCACTATTCCACCATCACCATCTAGCAATGACCACAAGCACATCATCACCATCATCTTCGTCTCATTTGCACATCGTTTTTCACTATAAGCATCATGGAGTCTTTATGATTTTACCATGCATATTAGCACCAAAGCGATGAACTACAATCGCTTGAAAGAGAACGAGGTTGTTTGGTAGTTGTTGAATGGTTTGTTGCAAAATGATTAAATGGTTCGAATGAATAAAAGACTCTGTAAGATATAATGCAGAATGAAATATGGTTGTTTGGCAACTATTCAAAATGGATAATCTGAATGATAACAAATTACCATTTTAACCCTATGTATGATTTAGTTCTGAATGAAATTAGTTGTTTGGTAAATATCATAATAAAACAACTATTTTTGCAAAAATAAACTATATGCTCAATACTAATAGTTCAAAACAACATTTCATATCCAAACAAATATAACATTACTTGTTCAAGTTCTACATTAAACAAAAATAAAACAATCAAATTTAACATAATAGTTTTTGAACGATCCTTAATTTGACGCATTTGACAATAACTGATTCGCAATGTGATCACGTAAATTAGCCATGTAGTTATTGTTTTGAGTACCAAAAGACCTTCCATTCATGTCATCTTTCATTTTTTGCACGAAAGCAACTGATTTTGTTTGGTTGTCAATGGAGAACACCATCATCATCAATAATGATTCCATCCCAAGTCCTTTCCCACGTCCTCTCTACCAACAACGATGAATCAAACACTTGAATGAAAAAAAAAAAACATATGATGAAATGCCATTACTAACACGAAGAAGATGATGATACATTTCAATTTGAGAATACTTGAAATGAAGCTACAAGATCAATGTAGAGATCCACAAATAAGAAATGCAGCTTTAATACCTTTTAGGTTCAGCTATAGTTATCTCAATCCAACCATATGTGAAATCATTCCAAATCATTCATATACATACACACACATCACATCACCAACCATGGCTGCAACACAAAGAAAAATAACCACCAAAGCATCAAATTCCTCAAATTTAGTTCATTTTGATTCAAAGAAGTGCTATGAATCAAATGTCTACTCCCTTATGTTATTTTCTTTTGTATACTATGACTCCATTCGAGTCTACACAACTCAAAAGCTTATGAACAAATCTAATATCTTACATAAACATGGAGGGAGGTTTGACATTTGACCTTTGTGATTCAAACTTATTATTATCCAAGTCTAAAATCGGGAGTCATAAGCATTAATTAACATTTTCATCAACAAATTTGTTTATTTGTAGTATTTCCAATGCATTTATGAATCTTTTTCTCCAAAATTTCATAGCACAGTTGCTTCGTTTTGAGTTGGTGTTAAGTCACTGCTTTGTCTAAGAAATTAAAGAATTTTGATTACGTAGTTCACAGGACATAGCTACGTATTTTCCATTTATACAATTATAAAGTAAAAAAAATATGAACTTCATGATGTCTGAAAGAGGATGATGTGACTTCAATTTATATGCAATCGTATTATAAGCTTGGTACTAATTAAGCATGTTTCATACTTGTTATTTGGATTACATGGTAGAAAGCTCATCCCAATCTTTGTTTTAAGTAATCCCTACATGTTAAATTGAAAAATCTCCATGAACAACATCAAACTTAAGAAAAACTAAATATTACATACATTATATTTAAGCTACCAATGCTCACCACAACCATCTAAGATAAACTACCTATGGGAATTAGTTTTTAACTTTGAATATTTTGTCACTGAAAGCTTTTATCAAACACTTGGTGTTCATGATAAAAACGGGAACATAATAGTGGCACAATAGGGGTCATGAAAAACGAAGATGAGAGATGTTGAAAGAAAATCTACAGACTTCAAAAAATACCCAAAGTAAATTATACCCAATCACTAACACATTGAAGATCCATCAACATATGAATCATTGTTTCAAAACACCAAAGAGATCACATAAACCATTATTTCAAACCTAGAAATAGATATGGGATTCAGTACCTGCGATTGAAGGGAGAGACCAGAGCAAGAGTAGTGAAAGATAACAGCTGCTAGAGAGATAAGAAGACTAGAGACAAAGATAGCAAGAGATCGGAGAAGAAGAAAATATGCAAATGATAGGAGGAATCGAAGATACCTCGAGCAGGGGTGGAGGCTTATAGAGGCCTTTGGGGGCCAGTGCCCCTACGATTTTTTATCTTTTACGTAGGTAAAACTTAGTCCACTATGTTAAAGATTTATTTTTTTCACTTTTCTTTAAGTATTGCCACCTCGGTTAAAAGGCATGTGTTTTGCTAGTGAGCACGAGAGAAGATGCAACGACGTGAGAAAGAGAGGCCTGAAAGGAGTAGCATTGTTAAGAGGAGTCGTCGATTGAGGGGCAATCAAAGAAAAAAGCGGCCTTTGAATGATTTGGACTGGCCCTAGATGAAAAAAATCGCTCAAAGGTATTTGGCATCATCCAAATGTTATTTTTTTGCCAAACAAGATTCTCCTCTGAGCGAATAGATCTTACCTCTAACTAGCATCATTAAGAAGCAAACAAACAACCTTTATGTCTTAGGATCTTCAATGATGAACTTATGCCAATGAAGAGGTATCACTTGTAGGGGACGACCAATTGCAAATGGGAGCATCTCTCTCGATTCTGACCTTGTCACTTATTCTTGTCCTTTTCCCCTCTTGAGAAAATATAATAAGAAGATATGTTTCACATCTTCTACTGAGACATTTTGGAGAATATGCCTCACGATACGTGTTGCCTCTGTTGATTATAATTTTATGGTTTTATTTTATTGGGTTTTAGAACTTATGTATACTTGAAATGTTCTTACTTCTAAATTATATCACGGGTATATATAGTATAAATTTTTTATTGAAAATGTACTTCAAGTGTTTTTATATTAAAACTTTGATAAATAAATAAGACACACCAAATCAAATAAGACTATAAATCCCACCGACTGGGGTATGGGTGAAGGTAATTAAGGTATACGTAGCTTTTCCTTTATCCCAAGGAGTAGATAAGTTGTTTATGTGAAAACCCCTGGCGATAAATACATGATCAATCGATTTTTTCTAGTTCATATCAATATCTATGTGGTTTGCGGTCTTTGATTCAAGATGTTACAAGCAAGATGTTGCACAATAGAAGTTCTTTAAGTTTATGCTTCGAAGAATATTATCATGTATGATGTAATAACAAGGATTGGGCGGTAAGTTGGACCTTTGATTACTTCACATCCCTTTTTTCAATCCCAAAGAAGAAATTCTAAATTACGAAATATTCATCTTAGTCGCTGTGGGCATATTTGCTCAATTGACACAAATGAACAAATTCAAACTTCAAAAGGATCTTTCTGATTCTCAAATAGCACAATTTTGCAAAGAAATAACCTACTTATTTATCGAGAAGAGACGAAAAACAGAATTGTCTTTCATTCCAAGGCCTAACTACTTCAAAGCTTACAAATAATAGTAACTATAATTAAAAAAAAATTGATAAGTTGTCGTCTGCTTAGGATCTTGTAGGAAGATCATTATAAACAATGATCTTTAAATGCCCATCGAGACAGAGCCGTAAAGGTTTTGGACTATTTGTCACCTAAAAGCCCAGTTTCTAGTCTTTGCATCGTTTTAGCGAGCTCGACTCAAGAACTAGGGAAATGAGAGGCTTGATATTGTCATGCACTTGACATCAGTAATATGAAGTTCTTTTTTTGGTGTAATTGTATCATTCTTGTTAGCCTTCATCATCGATAGATATGACTTGTGTAGTCAGCAGATTAAATGGATGTACCTACTGTATCCACCTATACATATTAGAGGTTTGTATTTCATGTTTTATTTGATTATCTATATTTTTCTCCTTTAAATATGTAAAATTTCAACCTTGTAACATCTGTGGTTTATTTGTTGTATAAATCTCAATATAACTTAACAACTTTTACAAATACAGGGAACAAGTTATCGGATTAAGTAAAACATCTTATATTATATTCCCGACTCCCAACCGAACAATCCATCCCAAATCAATGGTAAAACATAAAAAGTAATTGTAATATTGAAATACTAGAGGGACCATTTATGCATAATCTGATTGTCTGAAGTCTGAACTGGCAATCTAATATATTTTAATATAATTTGTTGCGTGTGTAACGGTTGTAGCTGAGATGAGCCTTCCCAAAAACTAGGTTTCCATCTTCCCGACTTCTTCTCTCTCAGACAAAGAGAGACGGACGGTAAGAAGTCATGCCGACCTTCACCACCATTGCTCTCGAAAACTTACTCGAACATCGAAATTCCGGCAAGAATTCGTCGACTCTGAAGAACCCACAACCGTCTACCAATGAAAACGATGAAGCTACAGAGGAGAAGAGAGCAAAAACGAGTAAGAGATTGAATCACATCTACATATCACCTGCTTTGTACACGACTCCGGAGCCCACTCCGATTTTGGATTATTCTTCATCAGGGTCTCTCTCGTCATCTCCCTATGTGTTTAATCGCAAGGGCCGTGGTGGAGGGAAGTCGGCTAATCGGAGAGTCGATGGGTTTGAGGTTGAGGGAAATGGAAGCCAATCGGTTGGAAATGGAGGTGAGGTGTTGCAAGGTGGAGAAGAGGAGTTGGTGGAGAGTAGTTTGTTTGGTGGAGGTGAAAATGAAAACGGAAACTTTATGGTGGTTGAAGATGAAGGCGAATGTGCGGATGATGATGATGATGATGATGATGGTGAATTTGTAGATCCTCGATGTGATTCGTTTAGTGTTGGTAGTTCAAGCGAACTAAATGATTCTGGGAGGATTGCGAGCATGAGCGTTTTGACGAATCAAATTGGGGAATTTTATGATGCCATTGAAGGTAAATAAAACGTTGTTTCTCTGTTTGTGTTCAACACCATACTTCCCTTTTCTTGTTAATCGCATGATTTCATTATTTGATTAATTTTCTACCAACTTATCAGGAGGTTGATTTTGGGATACAAGTTTTCCTTTATTTGTTTGACCTCTTGTTGATTTCTTGATGTGTGATTTTGAGACTATCATGAAATGTTTTGATGTCGAAACTTTGACTTTATGTTTTTTATTAAATTTGTAACTATCAGATGTGTTTTACATATATCAAGTATGGCGAAGGCTCAAGATCACCTTTAATCTCAAACCCACATCATGCTTGATACTGAGATTGGTCTGGTGCATCTCGTCCTTAACATCTCACACTAAGGGTGGAGATCCCTTCTTACACTTCTCACCTTTAACTTCTCTTTTTACCAGAAGCCAACCCTATTAAGTACTCCTCACCTTAACTTCTCTTTTCACCGGAACAGTACAATACTATATATATATATATAATATATATAGTATTGTATATATAAATGTTTTTCACCACTATTTGTTTTTGCTTTACCACCACGTTAACCACTATAGCAAATCACAGTCCCACCTGTGATTGCAGTTTAGGACTGCAATAACTACTTAGGCCTTAAATAGTAGATTCAAAAATGCAATTCATATTTTGGATAAGTATGAGCTAGTTTGGTATAAAGGCTCTGGGCCTGTTTGTTAGCAGCTTAATGGGACTTAGCTAATTAGATCATCTATACATGACTCTTTGGTAGGGGCTTCATGATATAGAAAATGGCTTATTCAGTATGCTTCTTAAGGGGGAAGAGGGAGCTTTATGCAGAAAGCCAAGTTTACCTGCCCCTCCCGATTAAAAAAACACTCCTTCTATCAATGAGAAAACCCTCCCAAACAAAAATCTTCCAAATCTATACAGACAGATTAATCCATTTCATCCATACAGGACTTACCGCAAAACCAACCAAACAACCCCTTAGTTGAGTAGCTGTTTTTATTTATATTAGATGAATCTCTCAGAAACAGCAGCTAGTTTGTTGAACTAATAAAGTTGTGCTTCTTACCAAGAGGCCTTTGGTCCAATGGTACCAATTACCAAACATGCTCTACAATTTATGTATTGTGAGCTTAAGTTTCTTGGAGACATAGGTGAGTGAATTAATTTGCTACTTTCAGAAAAAAGGAAAAAATAACTATAGTTGTACTTCATGTTTTATCAACTATCGCTACCTAGTTATGTTTTGCTGCCCTTTTATCATGCTTTATGTGCATTGTATCTAGAATATGGATGCAACTTTTCTAGTTTTTTTCTAAGATTCGTGCAATTCTAAACATCGTGGACGACTTCTGGATGCTTTTGTTGTTACTATCATCAAATAGACGTCCAAAAATGATGATGGAATTTAACATTTTCTTTGAAAGTAATATCTAATGTGCATTAGATATTTTTCCTAATCAATTTGATTATCTTAACATTTGAGATCATAGTCGAGATTGTTAGCAGKTGCCAAAGTACTAGTTGTTCTCAGATATCCTATTCCTAGACATGTTATCAGGACCCATGTTTACCTGCAAGGGTCGATTTTTTTGTTTAATTAGTAATCCAACACTTTAAACTTATATATACTTGATGAAATAAAGTTGTTTTCGTTACAGTCTTATCAGCCGATTTCACTACAGAACACAATCGGTACTCGAGGAGTCTATTTCTTGCATTTATTTTCTTGAAGCCCATCTAGGTTTATCATTCTATCATATGCTTTTGTAGCTTGCAGTGAATATTTATAATTGAAGATTAAAGAAAGGAGAAATCCATCAGTTACCAATGAACTTCCATTCGTATATGTGAATTGTGTGTGTCTGTCTGTGAGTGAATACATATATACATATACTGAGCCTAAAGGATTAAGAATTTAAGACATACATGTATGTATGTTTATATATATATGTGTGTGTGTGTGTGTGTGTGTGTGTGATTGAATATACATACACACACATATATATATATATATATATATTTATTTATACACAATTACACACGTAATACAGCCTAGATATACATATGCATACGGCCTGCTGATACATAAACCAAAACAAACCAAACCATACCAAACGAGCCGAGTATATCCCACCCGAAGGTGGGGTGGGGATGTATGCAGCCCGACCTCTACACAAAAGGGTAGAGCGGCTGTGTCCTTGAAGACCCCGGGCCTGTGCAAAGTGTGAGAGAGCAGATATATGTGTTGGCCTTAAGAAATTATCATATTAACGTAGACAATTACTTTGAGTACAATTGCCAACAGAAGTAAATAACAAAATATAGGAAAACTCTATACCAATTGTGTTTATGTTATAAGTAGATTGAAAGGATGTTATTTATTTAGTGGTTGGGTTTTACTTGGCAATCAATTGGGTTCAAACTGATATAAGAATGGTTGTTTATCAAGTAGGAGATTTAAGGTGTTAGTCTTTCTAACTATTTCATTTAGTTATGTATTTTCCCCAAGAGTTATATTTCTAAAAGTTGAATTTTGGAGTGTTCATCTGATTGTGTTTTGTCAAGAAATCCTATGCAAAATCTTATCAATGTCTTGTATGGAACACATTGCTCATATTATCAGTTTTCCTTGCTATAATAATATTTCTATATACGGTTTGAAAGATGGATTCGTATGTTTGAGGATATCTGCTAGTTGGTATGAAGGCTTGATAGAGTTCAAGTAGGTGTTTAAAATGTTCATATTTTTGGACAGATTTCTCCTCGGATGGATCTATGTTGAGTGTCGCTTCTTGTAGCCGCAACATAGAATCAGAGTTGTGTGCCACAAAGCTTAGTCTCCTTGAGGAGATTGAGAAACGAAAGACTGCTGAAAACAATGTTGCTATGATGTGTAGTCGAATTCAGAGAATGGGGAAGCTTCTAGTATGTTCAGAGAATGATAGCAGTTGGTTTGACATTAACGCAATGGAACAGTTGTGTCAACAAGTTATTGTTGGTAGATATGTAGCTGAAGCGGTGGGGAAGGCAGAAGCACAAGTAGAAGCCGAGGTGGCTGCAGAGGTGATCATTGGATCCAAAGATAAAGAGATCTCACGGCTGCGAGACAGGCTACAGTACTACGAGGCAATGATCCATGAAATGTCTCAAAAGAACGTTGAGTCAATGGGTACGTACATATATGTGTTTTTCTTTCTCCAATGGAAATGGGGTCGTTTATTTATATAATGAAATGATAATAAAAAAGTGTGTTGTTTTTTGCAGAGGTGGCACGAAGGCAGCGAGAAAGGAAAAGAGGGGAGAGGAAGTGGTTATGGAGTTGTGTAGGGATGTCGATTGTTATAGGAGCTTCTATCATCGCATACTCGTATGCACCATTGCCACATGTAGAAGCAGAAGCAGAAGCCACTGGTGGTGGTTACTAGTACCAGAACTGTCTCAAATGAAGAAATAATACGACATTGATGAGAGAAAGAGGCTTTACTTACTTTTAAATTGACTGACTGTTGAAAAAAGGAACTCATCTTCACAATTTTGCTTTGCTATTGCTACTGCTACTGGCTGGTTATAGTAGTTAGTTGTTGGTTCTTGGAGAGATGTAGATGAAATGAGGATTTTAGTGAAAATCCTGCACAATGGATATGCTTCAATTATTTGTTTGTATGATTTCTCAAAATATAACAACACTTTCCATCAACCTTCCTTTTTTGTTTGTCTGATGTTACATTTGGCAACTTATGTACTTCAAAATAAAGAGAGAAAAAATTCAAAAGCAGACACCATAACATAATGATACAACAATCCATGTGTTATCAATAATGTATAAACTAGTTTTTTAGCATATGGATGATAAATAACATCTACTACTATGACTGAGTTGTTCCCAATGCAAGATCATGCCAAGTATCTCCTCCATCCACCTGTGCTGCTGCCTCATGATCTGGTAAACAAACAAACAAACAAACAAACATCAATGCACCGTTACATAACTAACTCTTCATTCACACAAGACAAAAATAAAAACACTTATTTGCATTAGATATTGAAAAGGAACTTTGGTGGAAGATTTTTACATTAAAGACTGTGATGTAGAGACAGAGTGTGGCAACACTTGCGATACAAGTCAAGACCGTTTATTCAATTAAGACCGTAAAATGAAATGATCAACAAGTCCTGAATTTATTTGTCTTTTCTAGAAGATCAGACTTTTTTTCAAAGTTTCCTTATTAAGTTCGGTTATTTAGTTGGTATATTATCTTTTGCTCTTATCTCCTTGTCCTAGAAGGTTAGTTATTTCTCCTAAGCAAGTTGGTTTCCTCTATTTTCTTAATTTTCTAGGATTTTGAGGGGTTTGGCTTTGCTTATAAAAACCCTTGTAGGAGGCTTATGATTAAATAAAGATTTCTGAATTTGAGTGTGCTCAATATCCTTTCCACTTATCACAAGTGGTGAGGGACTTTTGTGCCAACCTTATCCTAACTGACCCTTAGGTGTAAGTTAATCCTCAACGACTTCTTGAAAACCTTAACAACCCTTCAACGCAAGAGTTTGGTGTTGCCCCGTATCAGATTGGTACCAGAGCCGGAAACCGGACTGGTGTGCCAACGAGGACGTCGGGCTCCAAAGGGGGTGAATTGTAAGATCCCGCATTGGTTGGGGAGGAGAAAGTTTCCTTATAAAGGACTGGACATCTCCTCTAGCAAACGTGTTTCAAAACCGTGAGTCCAAGTGTGTGGACAAAGTGGACAATATCTGGTACGGTTAGCCTAGAATGTTACAGATGGTATCGCATTGATCTAATGCCTTGTGTGACTTTACCAAATAAACCAACTTATCGTATGGTCCCCAAAGGAACATGAGGAGCTGAAATGACAAGTGGAAGAGCTGTTAGTCAAAGGCATGATCCGAGAAAGCAAATCACCATGTGTCGTCACTGCTTTATTAGTCCCCAAAAAGGATGGAAGTTGGCGAATGTGCGTAGATTCAAGAGCGGTCAATAAAATCACTGTAGACTATTGATTTCCTATACCTCGTTTGGATGACCTATTGGATCAATTATATGGTTCTCAAATCTTCTTAAAAATCAATGTTAGAAGTGGGTACCATCAAATTAGAATACGAGAAGGGGATGAATGGATAACCGCTTTTAAAACAAGGGATGGTTTATATGAATGGTTGGTCACACCATTCGTTATCTAATGCACCTTCTACTTTTATCAGGTTTATGACACATATTCTAAAATCATGTGTCGATTATGTTGTAGTATACTTTGATGACATCCTCATCTCCTATAAATGTATGAAAGAGAATTTGGTCTATTTGAGGAGATTATTTGATGTTCTCAGAGAGCAAAAACTATATGTGAACTTGAAAAAGTGCAGTTTTTGTGTTTTTGTCAAAATAGCGTGGTGTTTCTTGAGTATGTAGTGACAAGCAACGGGATTGAGATTGATCAAGGAAAAGTCGAGGCAATCAACGAGTTTGGCATACCCGCCAGCTTACATGATATAGGAAGTTTCCATGGCCTCGTGTCTTTCTATAGAAGGTTCATAAGAAACTTTAGCATGGCCCCTATTATCGAGTGCCTCAAAGGAGGGAAGTTCATATGGACCAAGACAGCTCAAGAAGCCTTTAAAGCTGTTAAATTGAAAGTAACTCAATATCCTTGTCTGACTCTCCCCAACTTTACTAAGCCTTTTGAAGTGGAAGCGATGCTAGCTTAGTAGGAGTTGGTGCGGTATTAAGCCAAGAAGGGAAGCCCATTGCCTTTTTTAGTGAAAAACTGAATGAGGCCAAACGCAACTATAGCACTTATGACAAAGAATTCTACGTCATCTACGGAACTCTTAACCATTGGAACCAGTACTTGTCATGCAAGCCTTTTATCCTTTACTCCGATCATAAGCATTGAAGTTCATCAACTCACGACAAAAGTTGAATAGAAGACATGTTGTTTAGGTTGAGTTTCTTCAATCTTACAGCTTCACACTCAAGCATAAGGCGGGAAGCTAAAATATAGTGGCTGATGCGTTGAGCCAAAGACACACCATGTTGAGTTCGATGAGTATTCAAGTCACTAGATTTGAAACGGTGAGAGATTTGTATAAGCAGATCTGGAATTTGGAACCATTTGGCAAGAATGCAAAGGAGGACCAAAGGGAGATTATTTGGTGCATGATGGGTATCTTTTCAAAAGAAATACCTTGTGCATTCCTCAAGGCTCTTTAAGACTTAACAATTTTGCAGGAAGTTCATGGGGGCATGTTAGGTGGTCATTTTGGAAGAACCAAAACGTTGGTTTTAGTTTGAGCAAACTTCTTTTGGACGAAGATGGAAAGAGATGTAAACAGGTTTGTGGAGCGGTGCAGCACGTGCATAATGGCCAAAACTCAAGCAAACCGAGCAGGCCTCTACACCCCATCAACGATTCCAATTGCACCATGGCATGAAGTAAGTTTAGATTTTGTTTTAGAGCTGCCAAGGACGCAAAAGCACAAGGATTCCACCATGGTGGTGGTTGACCGTTTTTCAAAGACGTCCCACTTCATACCATACAATAAAACTAACGACGCTTCCAATATTGCTGACTTATATTTCAAAGAGATTGTTAGATTACACGATTTTCCAAGTATGGTAAGTGATAGAAATGTCAAGTTCATGAGCCATTTTTGGAAGACCTTATGGAGGAAGTTGGGAACAACGTTGCTTTTTTCAAGTGCCTATCACCCACAAACTGATGGACAAAACGAGGAAACGAATAGGACACGTGGAAATCTACTTAGAAGCCATGTGAGAAATAATCTACGACAATGGGATTTATTGCTACCCCAACTAGAGTTTGCTTATAACCGGTCGGTTCATCAAACAACAAGCAAGTGTCCATTTGAGTGTGTATATGGTTGCAACCAATTAAACCCATGGACTTAGTCCCAAAAACAATAGTGGAGATGCTGAAATGTTACCCCAGGAGATCAAAAACTTTAATGAAGAAGTGCATGCAAAGATTGAAAAACAAAATACTCAATACGTCAAGCAAGCCAACAAAAAGAAAACATTCGTGGAGTTTCACCCTTGGAGACTTAGTATGGGTTTGTCTAAAGAAAGATCGGTTTCCTCCAGGAAAGATTGGGAAACTGAAACCAAGGATAGATGGGCCTTTCAAAATACTGGAAATAATTGGTGAGAATGCTTATAAAGTGGAGTTACCGGAAGGATATGAAACATTGCCAACCTTCAATGTTAAAGATCTACGACCTTATCATGGAGAAGACTTGAGGACAAGTCTTTTTCCCAACTGTGGGGGATTGATGCAGGTGTAGTAGAGACAGAGTTAGACTTGCGTGCAAATGTGTGTGGCAACACCGCTAGAACACTTGCAACAAAAGTCAAGACCGTTATATTCAATAAAGACCGTTAAAATTAAGTGATCAAGAAGTCCCGAATTTATTTTTGTCTTTTCTAGAAGATTAGATTTTTTTTTAAAGTTTAGTTACAGCGGGCGAACATGCCGGGCTCCGGCTCCGCGCACCTGCTGACACCTTTCGAAGCACTTTCTCCGATTGCCCTAAGGCAAGTAACTGAACTTCAAGCTATTTAGTTGGTTATTATCTTTTGTTCTTATCTCCTTATCCTAGAAGGTTAGTTATTTTTCAAGGTTTCCTAAGCAAGTTGGTTTCATCTAGTTTCCTACTTTTCTAGGATTTTTAGAGGGGTTTGGCTTTGCCTATAAAAGCTTTTTTAAAGCTCTTTTGTAGGAGGCTTATGATTGAATAAAAATTCCTGAAAATGAGTGTACTGAATTTCGTTTTATCACAAGAGGTGAGGGCCTTTTGTGTGGTGTGTCAACCTTATCCTAAGTGACCCTTAGGTGGCGGTTAATCCTCAACGAATTTTTGAAAACCTTAACGACCCTTCAAACGCGAGAGTTTGGTGTTGCCTGTATCAGACTGGCTCATAATTCTTACCTTCTTAATAGAATAGAATAGAATAGAATACCCAGTAGATACGAAATGTCCTATTATGCTATAAGCTTATAAAATAGGCAAATGACGAGTTTATGTAGCCGAATTCTGGGTGGAAATGCTACTCCGAAAGTAGGGTGTTACAGTTTTACTAACTCATGACTCATAACTTAACACATCCATTCATACTCATACAGGCCAGAAATTAGTCTTGACAAAACGCAAGAAATTGAAAGGTCGCAACACCAAGAAGATGTAGTCAACCTCAAGATATATTTTCAGTAAAAATGGAAGTGAATATTTCCAGTAAATAAGACTGGTAGTTTTTATTGGCAGGAGTTAAAACAGTTACGACGAACAGCAATGCTTCTTTAATTCTATCTACTGGATCAAACAATATTTGATATTAGTAACATTAAATATTAAGACTATGCAACATTTTTTTGTCGAAAATTTGGTAAACCTGATGATAATATGAAGATCAGTGAAGGTCGAAGGTAAAATCTAGAAACAATCACTGAAAGTGGATAGAATAGGTGGTATCCATCCAGATTGTGACTTGTGAGTTGGTACGAAGAACATATTCAAAAAGAAAGCATGTGACTGTGTGAGGAAAAGTGAAGATGTCAATGGTGATGTGAACGGAGGACACAACTAAAAGGTGGTGAACCAAGGTCTTGTTATCAGTTCAAGACGAAGGTTGAAGAAAAAAGGGGAGATAACAAGGTGATGATTAGAAGCCAAGTTGTTTGTTAAAAAGAATCCAATGTTACAGTGGTTAAGAGATGCTTGAATCAGTCAAAAGAGGCAACAATGCAAAAATATAAGATCTCGGCACACCCCTTATGTTTCTCAGCCCCAATGCCCCTCACGCCAAGATCCTGAATGGCCACCCTCGCCTCCTCACCCTTCCCAACCCCACCCCCCTCCCTTGTGCCTTAAGTGGTTGTTACCCATTTGGGCTAGGCAGTATCATAAAGATTTTTCCAAAACTTGTTTGCATATATTAGCTGATTAACCTCAAAGATATCCATTTGTCTATTTTAAATTAGTTTGTCCAACCTCGGAGATGGTGTGTAAATGTAGAATAATATTGTTTAGTTGTTCCTTTATGGACTTCATATTCTAATAAGTTTTGAATCCTGAGCACTTACTTGTTCACTTCTATCTAACAGTCCCCAAATCCTTTCAGTTATATTGGCATAGAAAAGTAACTCACAGGTCAAAACAACAAAAAGAATACAACAGAGGGGAATACGACAAGTATAAAATCCCTAATCTTCAAATATCATTATGCAACAAAAAGAAGAGAAGAGTTAATCAGCAGGCTGACATTTATCAATAACGGGATCGTCAAAAATTTCAAAAGAATACATAATACTCAAATAGACACCGGATATCCATTGGAAACAATAGTATTTTATAAGAGGCAGGGTTCTCGTTATTGATATTTATGCTCCATGGGGAGCAAATGAGAAGCGAGTTCTTTGGAAGAACTATTTCTCAAATATGTATTCGTTGTATTCACCATATTTTGGGAAAATATGTTTAACTTTTTTGGTTCATGTACATGTCATACTCCTTAGGGCCCGTTTGTTAGCAGCTTAATGGGACTCGCAACTTATTCAGTCAGCTACATATGACTGTTTAGTAGTGGCTTAATGAAATAGAAAGTGGCTTATCCAATAAGCTTCTAGGGGGTTTTATGCAGAAAACCAAGTTTTTTTTTTCAAAACGGCCCCTCCCAATTAAAGAACATGCTCATTCCATCTATGAAAAAACCTTCCTAATTTATATAGACAGATTAATCCACACAGACAGCTTTATCCATAAAGGATTAATGGATAACCAACCAAATACTGAAATACCTCCTTAGTTCAATCAGATTCATCATGTCTGGTCACGCTCCAGTGGTTAGTTCAATCAGATTCATCATGTCTGGTCATGCTCCAGTGGTCTGCAACTAATTTAGTTGATTGGGCACTATGGCATAGAGGATGCACATTAGTTTAGGACTACACCCCCGTTCGAGTCTAGGTGAAAATAACCATAGGATTCAAACCAAGTGATGTGCTTTGCATGCAGTGGTACGCTAGATTAGGGGTGTAAAGGGTACAAGACAACTCCAAGCTACTCGAGATTGACTCGGTGAAAGCTCGATCAACACTTCGAATCGAAGAAAAGCTCAGCTCGAACTCAACTCAAGATACTAACGAGTCGAGCTACCCAAAACTCGACTCGAAAAGCTCGCGAGATACTCGATTTTTTAATGTATAATTAATTCTAAAGTATATTAGTTGTACAATATAAATTGTAAAAGATAATATCAAAAGAAAAATGTCATCTACTTTTAGATATTTGAACAAAAATTTTACATTTTTTTAATATAAAAACTAATAAATTACCTTTTTATTAAAATCATGATTAAGAAAAGACCACAAAAACTATAAAAGTATTGGTGAAGTTGTCCCACATTGGAAGAGAGATAGTAAAGAAAGTTTGAAGAGGTGTTATAAAAAGATTGGGAGGTGAAGGGAGTTTGTAACTTTGTCTTTTTATGATGAAGCTTGAGGTGCATCCCTTGAGTTTTATAAAGTTTTAAGAGAACACCTTTAATCTTATAGTTTCTACGAAAAGACCCTAAAATTTCATAAATCTCAACTGGTGAGCTTGATTCAAGTTCAAGTTTGAGCTTGAGTCGAGTTTGAGATTGGTTTGAGCTTCAAACGAGTTAGAGTTGAGTTTAGTTTTTAACTGCTAGCAAGTTTTCAGGTCGAGTTTGAGCTTGAGAAATGGCTATCGAGTTCGATTCAAGTATATCGACACTCGAGCTCGACTTGCATCATTTACACCCTTACGCTAGATATACAATTTTATAATGTCGAGCGTTTTTGTTTTAATAAGTAGCATATTAAAACAGCATTTTGTTGTCAAGGAGCCACCTAAATTATCAACCCATATTTACAAGAAGTCCGAGCAAATATGGTGTAATAATAGGGGAATCATACAACTCGGTTCTTCTCTTCCAGATCTAGTGGAAGGATGGTACTAAATATATAAATCCTATCTTAACTAGACATGCTTATTCAGTTATTCGGGCATTACAAATATATCAAATCATACCCAAAAATACGACAGAAAGGTGTAAATATATCGAAATTGAAGTTGTTAACATACTGGAATCTTCTGCATCATCATTACGAGGGACGAGTGCTGGGGGTAATGCAAGATCTGTTAAAAAAGTGTATCAACCGATTAATTTATGCATATATTAATGTAGAACTTACAAGAAGAGAAGAGAAAAAAAGGTAAAATACCGTCGTCAGGGAGAGTATCTCTCATCCATTCCTCATCTACGACATCGATTAAAATCCCTAGGGTTAACTCTTCTGCCATTCTTGGGCTCTCTCCTTACTTCAACCAGATCATTTGCAGGAACAAAAAAGATGAAATTTGTTTCAACATATGCATCATAATTAAGAATCAAAAAAGTGGAAGGGGGTCTTACAGTGAGTTGGTGATGGATGAAGATCGAAAACACAGAGATCTATAATCGTTTGCGATTTACGGATTAAAAGTGAGTCTAACGAGGCAAATTTTCAGGATCATGGTGGGCGGACTTTGTTAAAGTAAAATGTACGGTGAGAAAAGAAACCATGCCTTTGCAAAAAGACCAACTTTTCAAAATTAAAAAGATTTGCCCTTCTTTTGGAAAATTTTCATTAAAATGAATCAAATTTGGGCACATTCCTATTTTGTGGAACCAATTTTGGAACATACTTATATATATTTAAAGGTCTAGTTTACTTGATAACTCGCTAATGATGATATGGCTAAGAGAGTAAGGGGCTATTTGGCAGTTGCTAAATGGTTTGATGCAAAATGGTTTAATGATCAGAATGATTAAGAGGCTCTGAATGATATAGTGCGGAATGAAATATGGTTGTTTGGTAACTGTTCTAACTGGATAGTCTAAATGACAACAAAATACCATTTTAACCCTCTGTATGATTTAGTTCTAAATGAAATATAGTTGTTTGGTAAATATCTGAATAGAACAATTCCATACCTAGTCCAAACAAATTCATACTAAATATGACATCATATACAACTCTGTTCATGGAAAACAAGAGTAATGATCTTGTCAAAGTCTTGATTAAAAAGATGATTGTTTGGAAGCAAACAGAGAGCATGAGCAAGAACAGTTTATGTGCAAAACCAAAACCCATGAAGTATGCCAGTATGATGATTATGTCGGCAATGGCATAGCAACTAATCTGCCAAACTTTTAAATAAGAAAATTCCAAACATGACTTCATCTACACAAGCAAAAACCAAGAAACTCCTCTAGTCCTTCCAATTATACTTTACCATAAACAAACAAACATATATATATATATGGACAAACAGAGAAATCAAGCTGAGATAAGAATCTCTAGAGATCTTTCCTCTCCACTTACTCGTAACAGGCTTTCCCTCTGTAGAAGACTTCTTCCGAATGGCATAATTGGGAGATTGATTCCTCGACTTATCCAATAATATGGATTGGTTGATTGGTTTTGATTTCAATTATGCAATTTGATTATGCTTTCGTTATTAATATATTTGGGATTGGCTTGATTTGTATTGTGCTTGCTTAGGGATAATATGGATTTTACATAGTTCTATGACAACAACTCTAATAGTATAAGAAGAAAAATCATTCAACTCCCCTACAAAAATCTAATTTTTGACAAACCACCAATGAAGATTATAACTTCGGTTCAAAAGGTTCAACAAAATACAATTGAATTGCTGCCAAATCATAAAGCTCATACTCTTATCTCTCCAATTTAGCATATTAGACAAGAACATCTAATCCAGAATTCTCAAATTGGGCAGCCATATAGTCAAATCAATACAGCCGTAAAAACCCCAAATAGGAGACCAAACACACAGAAAGTGTTGAGTTCCATTCTATAGCCTATGCTGTTATATCGGTCAGAATACGAAATATCGGTCAGGACCGATATTCGATATATCGGTTATATCGGTGATATATCGGTGATATATCGG